TCACTATCCCCATCACCACACCTACCCCCATCAACACCCCTACCCCACCCGCCTGTTCTCCCTTCACCATGACCACATCACCACTTTAGAGAACCTCACTCTTTTACTCTCAACCACTATCATCTGATGTGCAATGTTGTGATTGACGACATAAATGAAGAATAAAACGACCTCTGTATATTTGTGTGATTTGTTCACCTTTCCCATACCTTGCACTCCGATCGTATTTGTGTACTGTTTGTTGTCGTGACGTTCCGAGCCGCCCCCTACTGGACCGCGTGTGGGGAAAAAAGAGCTTTGTAGCTCATCGGATTCCTCCAAGGACAGATGAAAAAGATTTCCGAGGCTACAATCGATGCAAAGCGACCTTTGAAATGATGCGTCGCCGTGACACGTCCACGCGAGATGAGATTCCGCGAAGGCGTCGTGCACACCGCTTGGCAAAAAGTTTATTCGGTACAGGCACTCCGGCAACAACGAGGAGACTGGTTCGCTCTCCGGTGCTCGATGTGGGGGGCAGGGGGGGGGCAGAGGGTGGGGGGGAGGCAGAGGGGGGCAAGGGGGTGGTTCGATGTTCGCTCAACGCGGATGGAATTTAATGAACTCAAAGAAAACCTGTCGAGTTCTACTTTCTCCTCTTTGTTTGATACTTTAAGGGATCAAAACTCCCCCTCCTCCCCCTCCCCCCGTCGAAATAAAAAAAACACAAAACACGGCATGTTTCACCGATAAGAGCTTATGATCGCGCTGCATATATATAAAAACGCCAACGTGACAAAAGTACAAAAGCATAAGACAAACTAAAAAAAAAGCTCGTTTGTGCATTCAATGTATACACAACCATAACAAAAACAACAACACACCAAACCGCGGCAGGAATACGAATTTTAAATAATGCGTGTGGGGGGGGGGGAACACCTCCGTGGCGAATGCGCGTCGACGATGAGGAGGATTCGTCGTTCCGCTCGCGACGTCGTTCGGGGGGGGGTGACCGTCCCGACGTTTCGCGACCGCGTGCCGGGCGCTGCACCTTCGCGGAACCGCGGGAAAGCCTCGCACGAGGGACGCGGTGCGAAACGTCGGGCGAGACGTCGCGCGGGACCACGAACGGCGCGGACCGGCGACGTTTTTTTCTCGGAGAGCCGCGCGGCGCAACGGCGTGAGAGGGCCCAAAAAAACAACAACCCCTCCTCGCTACCGATGCGCTGCCGATAGTCGCGACAAGGCTCCTGGGCAAAAGCGCACGGCAGGTTTTTTTTGTCGATGAACCCCTACGCGGCGGTTAAAGGTGGCCGGCGCGAGCCATTGAAACTTGACATCTTGACATTGGAGGAAGCGGGTGTCTTTCGGTTTTTTTCTTTGCATTAAAAAAAAACACAAATTGGCACGAAAAATTAAGGCGGTTAAGCGAAGGCGACGGGCCACTGGGAATCGACGCCGCGACGCTTTCACGGAGGAAAGTGACGGCTGTAGGGATTTGGCGGTCCGAACGTTGCCCTAGTGGGGGCGGCCAAAACGAAATCTCACGATACATATACACTGGGCGCGTCAATTTTGTTGTTGTTGTTGTTGTTTTAACACTTTGCGACAACACCACGAGAAACGTGCCGGCCTCCCTGGGGGCTCTGGTGATCACCTGGAGAAGGTTCCGGGGCACGCGTCGACAATGACGGCGAACAAGTGGGAGGATTTTTTTGGGGGGGGGGTCTTTCCGTCAAGTCACGTAGATAGGTTCAAAGCAAATCACAGTAAAACCTTGCATTGCGAACGTAATTCGTTCCGGAAACGTGTTTGTAATCCAAAGCACTCGTATATCAATGCACTCGTATATCAGTTGTGATCACGTGACGCTCGGCAGTACAAAAGCGTATACGTACACTGCTCGTATTGCAAGAACCTCGCTCGTTTATCAAATTAATACTTATTTAAAATTTTTGCTCGTCTTGCAAAACACTCGCAGACCAAGTTACTCGCAATCCAAGGTTTTACTGTAACAAAAAAACTACCACGTTTCGATCGCGACACAAGCGTTCGTCTTCCCCGAAGGCGACCGCTTGCGTTGCGATCGAAACGTCGGGAGTTTTTTGTTTGTTACTTTCTTTGAACCCATCTACGTGAATTTACCGAAAGGCCCCAAAGGACACGAATTCCTGCAGTCACGAAAGCTTTCAGACTTAAGTGGGAGACTCTTTGACTTTCCGATGCTATTACCATTACATTCGTTATCATTTTGATTTAAAGCTTTCGTGACTGCAGTAATTCATATTCTTAGTTTTTTCGGTAAAGTCACGTTGAAGAGAAACAACAAAATAATAAAATATATATAAAACAATAAAAAAATTCTCACGACGTCGTGAGAATTTTTTTATTGTTTTTTCTCACGACGTCGTGAGAATTTTTTTATTGTTTTTTATATATTTTATTATTTTGTTGTTTCTCTTCAACGTGACTTTACCGAAAAAACTAAGAATATTTGTTATCATGTTACAGCTCTTTTTCCATCGAAAACGATCGTCCCATATACGTTCATAATTTCTTCCCCTCTCCTGCGAGTGACGAGAGAGTGTTGCCGCCAAGCGTTTCTGCGGACTTCCTCCGACCGCCTCACGTCTATCACGCTTTCGACGAAGGAAGACCAAGCGCGCACGTTGAACTTCTTTCGCACCGTACGTAGCCAACCGTGTATCTAATTGGGGGGGGGGGGGGGGACAAGTGGACGAAGCAACGGCTTCCTGCGCTAAACTAGCGAGGGATAAACGACACCACCTCACCAAACTCCACATACGCAGAAAAAGTTTAGATATTTGAAACCCCCCCCCCCCCATAAAAGGTCAAAGGTGCAGCCCTGCAAATACCTGCTCCAAGCTACTGCTGGCGGAAGGGGGGGCGGCCCTCTCCACCACCAGAGGGAGCTCTACGAAGCCCCCTCTTCGAGATGGCACTTCGTCGGACAGTCCTTGCGCACTGGCCAGGGCGTCTTTGGAAGAGGTGGGAGCAGGTCGAACAACAACAAAGGCGCGCTGCTCGCAAAACAGCAGGAAGGCACCGATTCGCCACGGCTCCCTGGCACGCGCATGCCGCCCCAATCACCGCGCCGGGTGGACAACGCTCCCACAGCTGGTGGTCTCGACAGAGGTGGGGAGTAGTGCCCCACGCGCTATCCCACCAAAAGTGACCTTGCCAATCGACCAACTGGGGTTGTATACATTTTATTTTTTGTTACCCATTTTTGTGTTATTATTATTATTATGCCAGATAAGGCCCACTGAGCTATGTAGCTCTTTCCCGGGAGCGACCTGGCCACAAATGATAGCTCAGCGAAGCGGCGCATCGTCTTCGCGTGGAAATTTTAGCAGCCGAATTATCTCGACGCGTGATGTCGATTCTGAACGTGGAGGGGGAAAAAAAGCGGAGGACCCGGAGAAAAATCCACGCGACCACGGGGAGAGAGGCACGCAAACTCCAAATATACAGCGGCAGCAGGCGTCAGGGTCGGGATCTAACCCACGACCTCCTGTATACCAGGCGAGGTAGTTAACATCTCCTAGCCACCGTGGCACCCTCTGCCGGGAGGACCACGGGCAGTGGATGGTGAGGATTTGAAGACAAAAAACTTGCACCGTTGTTTCATCAACCGCGGTGTCGGAAGATCGAACCCCGGTGACCTCCGCTCGGTATGCAGAGTCGAGTGTGATAACCATCCAATCCGAAAATGACGCTCCCCCCTTTTGCCATCGCTTTTGGATGTTAAAAAAGGAAAAGATTCTCAGACGTAATTCGCAGGAGTGAGCGGCACTCGCTGCTATGTGCCGGCGTCAGGGTGCACATTTGCCAAAAATTCTTCTGAAGATGACACCGCAAATTGCTCGATTGGGATCGTACGCAGCGATCATTAACAATCACCTCTATCCCCTCCTGCTTACCAGGCAGGCTAACCTGGTCTCTTTTTCAGGGTTCTCAGCTGGGGGTCAAACAAAATGAACTTGAAATATTCGGAGCTGGGGGCAAAGCGATTTGCATCCTCCTCTTACTGGAGTCCCTTTCCTCCACGAACAAAGTCGACTGCACGCAAACAGTAATACTAATAATACCAACACAAATTAATCTTGCACACAAACAGAAATCACAGTTATTTGTTAGGCAATATAAGACAACGCCGCTCACGACCGATATAACGTCTAGCGGGCAGGAATAACAACAAGAGTAATAGGAGACACGAGGAATGATAAGTTCGCCAAGTCGATGTTCAAGACGCTGCGTTGAGGTTTTCGCTGCCCGAATTCTCGACTCTGGATTGTAATTTCGAGACGCCTCAGTTTGGCGGTTACCGCCGTGGTTACCATCAACCGCGGCGAATTTGCGATTGCTTCCACGACGCTTTATCTGCGTTCGCTACGAGTATCACCACGCTGGTAATAATATGCTTTGCTTCGTACTTAAAACGTAACGTTGTTAGTTAACGTATGCACATGCCGCGCGCGTGTCTGTGTGGTGCGCGCGTGTGGTGCGTGTGTGGTGCGTGTGTGGTGCGCGCGTGTGGTGCGTGTGTGGTGCGTGGTGCGCGCGTGTGTTGGTGAGCAGTAGTGGAGTGGTTCGCGCACTGTTCTACGAACCCGGCAAGCCGAGTTCGATTCCCGCTCATGGCCAACACCAGTGGCGATTATCTGAACCGGTCCTGGGCTTCCCCGAGGTCAACTCAACCTCAAATGAGTACCTGGTGCGGTGTGTAGTAAACATCGCCACTGGGGAGACAAAGGCGGCCGGGCGTGGTGTTGGCCACCCACCCCGTCGTGTGCCGTGCCAGCCTTCTCAGGTGCTCGCTAACAGCACTTGCCCCAAGAGGGGGGCAGGGGGATCTTCGCCTTTGTGTGCGTTGCCAGCACGGCGTCGTTTTTGCAGCCGCGTGCTCGCAAGTTTTCGCGAATTGCCAACGAGAGCGAAATTTAAACGGCAGCGTAACAGAAACATTAAAGCCCTCCCCCGCCCCACGCTCACCCATAAACATTTCACTATGGCCACGTTTAATTCACGACTTGTGCACAGCTCGCCAAACCGTTACGCCTCTCGGCAAACGCCGATTCCTCACGTGATCAAACAACCACAGACTCGGGTATTGTATAATACGGTACACACACACACACAAGGAACGCATTAAGTCGTCTTGGAGGTCCACACGGGACCACGACGTGGCGTTAGCGAGCCAGATCCTGGGGTGGGTCCTTCAGGGTCAGAGCGAGCGAGCGGTCTGCGCAACGCTTAAAGCGGAGTCTGGGAGGGAGGGGGGCCTTGAGAGGAGGTGGAAATGACCTCATTTGGGGGGGATTTGGACTCCCCCCCCCCCCAAAAAAAACCCAAACGAGCAAAGAGAATTTGTGAAGAAGAAACAAACCTCCCGACCCCCCCATCCAAAAGAGGAATCCATCTAACAGCTGTTCGCTTTAATAGTGTGTGGAATGTTTTTTTTGTGCAAATATTTTTTGGGAGTTAAGCCGAGACTCCGGGTTCCCCTCGAATTTCGATCCATCGCACGGTTTTGTTCCCCCAACGCACGGTTCCAATGCCCCGGGGGGGGAGGGGGGCGGGGTGGTGCACGGCGTGTCAAGGATTCGGAGTCTCCCGTGAGACTCGTACGGCCTGCGCAAAAATGTGGACCGGATTTCATTTGTGACCCCCCCAGGGTCAACCTCCTCAAACCGGCCCCCCCTCCCCCCCCCCTTTGCAATTTACACGGAAGCAGTTTTACAGATCGAAACGGAGGCATCGATCGGCGAGGACCGGAGAAGCCCAGGACATTAAGATCGTGGAGAGAATTGGCATCTCAAAGGATGGACTTCAAAATACTTCCGTCGGCATCCACGTCGCGCGATGCCGCGTCCATTAGCAACTCCTCTCAGGGCAGTGCAAACTCGATATCAGACGAACGGGCCCAGGGAAGCGGACACCGCAGAACTAGTTCCGAGATCCCTTCAGGTGACCCCTGCTCCTCGCCCAGTGGCGGGCAGCACTCGCCCACGCGATTTGGCACCGGGAGTAATGTCCGTGGCATGACGGTCAAACTACACAATCCGAATTCTCGGAAATGGAATTTAACCAAACGAGGTGCAGTTTAATGTTTTTTTTTTACTCTTTAAATCATTGAGCTTCCCCATCTCACTCCGTGTTGCTTTAGCCGTGCGTGCGCAGTCCTGTATCTGAGATTGACGATTATCTGAACCGGTCTTGGGCCCCCTCCATGGGTTGGCTCGGCCTCCAATGCGTACCTGGTGCAATCTGCAAACATCGCCACTCGGCAAACAAAGGCGGTGGGGGCGAGGGTGCGTGGTGTCGGCCTTCATAGGAGCTGCTCGCTAACAGCACGTGCCCCGCCCGACAGTATGTCAAGGCTATACGGGGGGGGGGGGGAATCTTCGTCTCGTATCTGTACACCACCGTTCATTGCTGCGTTGGTGTTGCGTATCTCGGATATAGCTGTGGTCGTGCGGGGGCTGATGAACGAATTTGGACTGGGCTGCCGAGACTCGCGACTTCGCCGTTGACTAACCGATGGCGCCGACAGCCTTGAACAAACAACACAAGTGTCAATGCATCGGTGAAACACAAATGCGGCTGTTGCCTGACGATGGTGGTTATTGGTCGCGAAAGCCTGCGTGTTAAACTGACACTGGTGAACATTTCACAATGTGCGTGCGTGTGTGTGTGTCGACGCCAGGGGTGGGTGACGGGGGTGACATTCTACGTATAAGTGTACGACACTCGGTCTGGCGGACTCCATGCAACTGCATCGTCAGAGCGTGTCGCCAACCGATGGCGTCTAGTTCAACAGCCTGACTCTTAATCATTCTTGAAATTAACATTTGTTGAATGTCACCCCTGGTCGACGCAGTGGTTAGCGCGCTGCGCTACGAACCCGGTGACACGAGTTCGATTCCCGCTCATGGCCAACACGAGTGATGATTATCTCAACCGGCGCTGGGCCTCCCCACTCGGTTCGTTGAGTACCTGGGGTGCGGTGTGCAAACATCGTCACTAAGGAGACAAAGGCGGCCGGGCGTGGTGCTGGCCACCTACTCCCTCGCGTGCCGTGCCGGCCTTCATCGATGATATTCGCTAACAGCACTCGCCTGTGAAGGCTATACACGGGGGATCTTTGTCTTTTATCTTTGTAGTCCCTAACAGGAATTGCCCCAGTAGTCTGCGTAGGCAATACGAGCGTCCTGCGCATGGCCATGTGGGTGGAGTGGTAGCTCCACGGATAGGGCACTGCGATATGGACTTGGCATCCCGAGTTCGATTTCTGGCCACGGCTGACCCCAGTGGTGATTATCTGAACCGGTCCTGGGCCTCCCCCCTACGTCAATCCCTTACTTTGGTGCGGTGTGTAAACACGAGCGGCGGTGGGGAGACTGATGCGGCCGGGCGTGGCGCTGGCCACAATGCCACCAGCTCGCGTGCCGTGCCGGCCTCGAGAGGCGCTCGCGACTCGCTACCTTGCGAACAGCGGTTTGCTCAATCTTCTGTATGGCGACACGGGAGGCGTTTTGTCTCTTGGCGAAGGAGCAGCCGCGGTGACAGGCGTCCGAGTGTGTGCGAGCGTCACCGTGGATCGGCACTGTGAAGCTCACGCGCGTGCACGTGTGCGCGTGTGTGCGTGCATTACAGGTGAACGCGTGCGCGCGTACAAAACGTTTTGTCATTTGCTCGTTAAATATCAGCACGGGTAAACTTGCAACAACAACGACGACGACGACAATGACGACGACGGCAACAACAACAACAACAAAACAACGATATCCTTACTAAGGATCAAAAAGAAGGGTGGGGATTTTCTTGTTCCGTCAGGAATTCCGTCTGGGTTTCTTCTGTGCGGAATGCCGGAGGATTGCCCCGAGGAATCTTCCGCCGGAAGCCGCGAGGGAATGTGAAGCAGCTCCCGGCGGGTACCAGACCCGTCCACGGTTACTGCCGAGCCAGAGCCTCTGCCTCCTGAAAAAACACCACCACCACCACCCACCGCCACCGCCGCCGGCACCAGCCGAGATCAATCCACTGCTGGATGATGCCCACGCCCCCCTGCACCCCCCCCCCTCCCCACCCCCAGATCTTAGTGGGACCGGATGTGCTCTCTGACCGCCCCCGCCAACCTGGCTGGCTCACCTCCTCCACGAGAGATTTGGAGTAACACAGCCCGTTCAAAATTGATGACGACCACAACGATGACGACGACAATGGCGACGACGACGACAATGGCGACCTGACGACAATGACAATGACGATGATGACAATGACGACGATGACGACAATGATGACAATGACGACGACGACAATGATGACGATGACGACGATGACGACAATGACGACAATGACGATGACAATGACGATGACAATGACGATGAAAATGACAATGACGACGATGACAATGACGATGATGACGACAATGACGATGATGACGACAATGACGACAATGACGACAATGACGATGACAATGACGACGACGACAATGACGATTACAATGACAATGACGACGACGACAATGACGACGACAATGACGGCGACAATGACGGCGACAATGACGGCGACAATGACGACAATGACGACGACAATGACGACGACAATGACGACGACAATGACGGCGACAATGACGACGACAATGACGACGACAATGACGGCGACAATGACGACGACAATGACGATGACAATGACGACGACGACAATGACGATTACAATGAGGACGACGACGAGAATGAGGAGGACGACGACTCGCGCGGTGGCGGTGGTGCGGGTTTGGTTTGTGTGCCCGCACGCTCGCTGACCTTTGAACCGGGCGGGGGAGTGAGGCCGAGGAACGTGAACACGGCGTTGTTCTCCTTGGCGTCGAAGAACGACTCGTAGTCCTGAAACGGACAGCGCCGGAGCAAATCTCTCGAGAGGTGTTGGGGGGGTGGTGGGGGGGGGAGTGGTGGGGGGGTGGTGGTGGTGGGGGGACGAACGGGAAAGCACACAACAGCCTGGAGCCCTGGCGGGGGGGGTCTGTTTGTTTTGTTTTGATTTATAACGTCCGAAGCAGAACCGCGCCCAGTCTTCCGCTCGCTCGTTACAATAATAATAATAATAAGAAATGGTTGCTATTATAATGTCTGTCGCGTTTACGCTGCGCCGTTAGCCGTCGTCGTCGCAGAGTATCCAGACAGAGACTCGGGAGAGACGCGTGGAGGAACCACAGATGGGGAGTGGGAAGGCAGCAGCAGCAGCGACCCTCTACATATTGAGGTGTTAATCGGACAATTTGTACACGTGGGAGGAGACCCGGAGCACCCGGAGAAAACCCACGCAGTGTGCGAGGGGGAAACACTCGATCCCCGTACAGACAGAACACGGGTGTAGTAGTCCACGTTCCTGCTGTACCGCCTTCTCCTGGCAGAGACACGGTAAAAAGGGGCTCGTTCTCGACACTCACGGGAAGGCAGTTTCGCAACATCCATGCGGCGATCCACCAACCCCTCGCTGCTGCGTCCGCAGTGCTGGGTTTACAAGTGGCCGCCAAGTGCACAGCCACCCACCCACTCACCCATCCGTCCACCTACTCACCCTCCCACTCACCCACCCATCCACCCACTCACCCGCCCACTCACCCATCCATCCACCTACTCACCCACCCACCTACTCAACAACAACAACCGCCATTCGCCACTAAGTGGCGGTGACATCACCACGACGCTTGTGCCAGGCCATGTGCACCTTGAGGCCACGTGAAGTGTCGAACGCCCGCTGGCAGGAGGTCACGGGGCAGACCCAGGTGCCACGGGTCGACTGACGGAGATGACTGAGATGACTGGCTGATGCACCACCTGTGCCCCCTACTGTGCCAACTTGCTGTGCTTTAGCCACCCGGCGCTCCGCTCGTTGTTGTGAGCGTCGCTCCTCCACCCTCCGTTGTTGTTGGAGGGCGACTGCCTCCAACTGCCCAGGAGCATCTTTCACGAGCCTCCTCCGCAGAGGCCGATCTTGACACCGCTGGTATCAGTGATCGGCAAGTCGACTCCGCTCCATATTTTCCCGTACCGCATAAGTCCATCTCTTCTCCAGCCCGTGTCGTGCCCGTTTAGCCCCCTCTATCCAGCCAAACAGAAGCTGCTTGGGCATCCGGTGGCTGGGCATGCGGGCTACACGACCCGGCCAATGCAACCTTGCTTGCCGGAGGAGCTCACCGATGCGAACGTGTCCAGATTCTGGATACGCGCACACGCACACACGCGCTCACCCCGAGGTAGGACTCGCCGTTGAAGATCTGCGGAGGCAGCGGCACGCCGCTGGTGGGGCAGTGGTCGCGCGGCACGTGCTCGCGCATGTAGCGCTTGTTCTCGTCGCTCACGACTATGTCGCACTCCTCAAACTCGATCTTGTTCACCTGCAGGAAGCCCAGCACGTCCTGCTGCTGCTTCTTGATCTGGTGGAAGAGCGAGCGAGCGAGCGGGCAGGTCGTAAGTCAAACACGCGGTAGCCAGGGCCCGGAGCCACAACCCGGATTTACGGAACATCAACGACCTCAGTGCACAGAGAGTCCCCGACTTACGAACGGGTTCCGTTCCCGAGAGCCGTTCGTAAGTCGGAACAAAATAATGTGCTGCATTTAAATCGACATACGGTAAATCCACGGACTGCCTGCTATAAAATGTGCGAGGGCTCAACAAAAAAAGGGAAGCATTGTGAAACTCGTAAATAATAAGATACGTCGTACATTTGCACGCAACGCAGTAAATAGTTCTGAGGCTAGGTTCGCAAGTCGGATGGTTAAAAAATAAATATCTTATGGAAGCCCGTTCGGAAATGCGGATGTTCATAAGTCGGGCTGTACTGAACATGTGTGTTGTGTGGGATACTCTTATCCGCGGTGACATGGGGGAGCGATATTGTGGCTCATCCTATGATCTGCAATTTTTACTCCGTTCATCCACAGGGCAAAAATTTCCGGATATCCCCTCCCCCGGGATAATGGGATGAATTTGCCGCGCAACTCCCCTTATCCGCAATATAATTGCGGATATAATTGCGGATAAGAGGAGTTGTGGATAATAGGACCGCAGATAAGAGTTCGGCATACCGAAACAAAAGGCACAAAAAGTCATTTCCTGCCGCACGAATGAGGATCGAGGGATTGGTGCTTATCTCGCGTTTACAGCCATCCTGAGCTGGTGGTGGAAATTCCACATTTATATGATGGGGGGTGAAGATATTTTGCTTATAATGGGGGGTGTGAAATATTGGACACCCCCCTCACATCAACATTTAATAACTGCCCAGTGAGCATAAAACGTTGGGCAAACCATTTAATCCCACATTCAAAAATGGGCCCAACGTTTCAAACCACATTCCGACGTTGGTTAAACGTTGGCACGTCTACCAGGTTAAATGTCTCCGACGAAGCTCTGGACTGCATTGGTTGACCAGACTAAGAAAGTGACCGAATGAAAGCCACCACCAAAAGACTCCACAGTTGATCTTCGTTTCGACCGAAACTCCGACCGACACTAAATCAGCATTCGCCGGTGGTATTATTTAGCCTCGTTTCCAGCCTGCGCGCACGCTTCGCCCACCGGGCTAATGCCGCTTGTCCGTCTCGACTGTAGGGAAGCTCTTGGTCCGAATAGTACAAGAAAAAATGCCGACTGAAAATGCTGACTGAATCTACCACCGCAGCCAACAACAACAGCGTACAGTCCTCGCGCGCGGGGGGGGGGGGGGGGGGGGGGGCAGACTACACAAGACAAAGAGCCCCCCCCCCCACCCCCCGTATAGCCTTTTTTGGGGCAAGTTCTGTTAGCGAGAAGCGCCTACGAAAGATGGCACGGCACACGAGGGGGTGGGGTGGGGCCAGCACCGCGTCCGACCCACCCTTGTCGTCCCCGCGTGGCCATGTTCACGCACCGCACCCGGTGCTCATTTGAGGCCGAGTCGACCTAGGGGGAGGCCCAGGACCGGTCCAGATGACCGTCGCCGGTGCTGGTGGCCGCGAGTGCGAACCGGACCTCGGGTGGCCGCGCGCGCTAACTGGGACACCATCGCTCGGCAGGCTTCGCGCGCACAGACGAGCACGAGCGCGCCGCTCGCGCTCCAAAAGCCAACCGCCCCTTTAGGAAACGTAGCCCAGCAGAAGCCCAAATATGGGCAAAGTCCCGTAAGGGGCAGTTACCCATGTATGGGAAGCAGTTCACCCGCAGCACTCCGACTGGCACACGGTTCCACCACGCAGCCTTATCGGTCTGCCCGGTTGCGAGAGGTGGCAAAAGCGCAGGCCTGCGATTGTCCGCCCCCGCGTTGCTGCCGCTGCTGCTGCTGCTGCTGGGGCAAAAAAAAGCCTCCGCGCTCGGCAGAGGCGGTACGCGCCAGAGCTCCCCAGCACTGGAGGAGAGTTTTTGGCCTCCTCTTCCACACTGGCCAATGTCTCGGCTGTCGTGGGAGTACCCACACTTTACCCCCAAGCTCGCGCAGCCTGCCGATCCTAGACCAACAGCTGAACAGTTCCACGCGACAAGCCACTCTGTTGAGCTATCGTTTGTGGCCAGGTCACTTCTGGAAAATAAAGTTAATAGCTCAGTCGGCTTTACCTGGTAAGGTAAAAAATAATTGAGTTTTATTTGGATATATTTTTTTGTTAAAGTGATTTTGTTCACTTTTCCTATACATTGTATTCCTATCGTGTGTTGGTACTGTTCGTTGTTGTAACGTTCTGACCCCGTGCCCCTACTGGACATCTGTGAAAGAGCTTTATAGCTCATCGGATTCCTCCTCCTGTAAAAATACAGATCCTGATTCCGGGTGGACAGAGGCGGTGGTGGACTGCAAAGGAAACTTGCAACGGCGTTTCAACTGCCGTGCGCAGAGATGGAATCGAACCCACGCCCTCTCTGGCTTGCAAGTCCAGCACGCTGCCATAACCAATGCACCACTGTCGTGGCTGCAGCAGCGGCGCCTCCAGTTTTTGCAATTTTATTTTCTGTTATTTTACAATTACCACAATTGTGGTTTTCCCCCAAAATCAGTTTAAAAATAACCGTTCCGTAAAAAAGGGGTCGCTCGCCGATTTTTGATTTATCGCTGCATAAAACCTCCCGACCGCAGACGCAATGTTTCGTACCCTTGTTTGGCGAGATATGTTTTTTTTTTAAAGCATGGGCACTGTTGAAAGTAGAAACACACGACGCACAACGTCACCAGAATTCACGGGTCCCTGTCAGCAGACGCGATATCGGACAATCACCAGCACCACCAGCAGCAGTAGCTGCTGCAGTCGTAAAAAAACGAAATTGCCCTTGCCTGCGATCTGCCCCATAAACCATATTTTCCCTAGCCCTGGCATATTAAAATTTACACGGCGGTCAATACCGCATTTCAGCGAGTTATTTCGCATTCTGGCGACACTGCGCTGTACGTCAAAGGACCTCAACGCAATTAAGCCGCCCACGGCACGGCTGTTTAGCTGTCCCCCGGTGTGGTCATTTATGGGCACGCATTCCGTGATGGAGTGCGCTGCGCCTTCTGACCGCTACAGAAGCAGGAAATGGCGATCGGCCAAAGCGCTGAGAGACACGCTGGGCGTCTCACAATGTCGTCAGCGCAGAGGTCGCCGGTTCAATTTGACCCCCCGGGCAAGACAGTTGAAGCAACGGGGGCGATTGTCTTAAATCAACACCGACCACCTCCAACGGCCTTTTTGCCCACCCCAGCCGTCGATCGGCTGGTCGCGTGTGGTGGCGGGGTGAAGCGTTGGCAACTCCCCCGCCGCCTCTTCCAAGACGGTCTCGGCCACCGGGCAAGAGCCGGTCAAAATACCGTGCCCCCAGACGGCGTCCCGAAGGCCTCCCAAAGGGCTCCCCCCCCCCCTCCTCTCTGGCGGGGGAGGCGCCGTGGGCCGCAAGCGCTTGCAGGGGCTGCACCCCTGCACCTCATCCCTTTGCTCTTGGCTTCACGACGACTGGCCCGTAGGCCTGCGGTAGCTCCCGAGGCCTGCGGTAGCTCCCGAGGCCGGCGGGACAAGGAAGGGCCGTTGGCTCAAGCCGCTGAGGAAGGTGGCGGCAAGGGTGTCGCGGGCCGCTTTCCGAAACTAGTTGCGATGAGCCTGCGCCAAGGCCGGAATTCTCTGCTGGAAGCCGGTGGGAGGGGGCAGTGGGGGCCGTGGAGGACTGGGGTGGGGGGCAAGAGGGGGGGGGGGGGGGTTCCTGAGTAGACTACACAAAGGGTTTGGGAAATTTAGGGTGATGAAATCTACGCAACTGTTGGCTGTCGACCGTCCGTGCGTCGCTGCGGTCGCAGGGCAATCGGCGAATACGTCGCCTGGCGGAAGGGAGAAACGCGCAGACTCAGCAACGGCAGCTTTTTTTTTCGTCCACCAAAGTGTCGTGGGGGGAACGGGGGGGGGGGTCTCTTTCGGCGTAACTAGACATTTTTTTGGGTTATATCACGTAAATATAAATGCGTCGTTTCACAACGGGTTTAACAACACATTTGCATTCACATGATCTAACCCAAAAACCTCTGTTATGGACGTGTTGGTTGAGGGAGGGAGCGAGGGAGGGGGTGTCGGGACCCCCACGACACCCACAGCCACCACCCCCACATTACCCCTCGCTCAGAAGCACGCCGTCACGGAAGGGACGGTGCATCCGCACCTGTTTTCACACACGCTCGCACACACATTCCTCTTTCGGGAATTGGAATTTCACACGTGTGGGCCATGTGGGAAGGGAGTGGGGGGGGGAGGAGTGTGGTGTGGGAGTGGTGGCGCCAATATAAACTCTGCTGGTGGTCCAATTCCTAAATTGTCCGTGTAGCGTTGGACCTCCGCTAGATCAGGGGTCGGCAATCTGCGGCTCTTTAATGTGTGCAAGCGTGTTGAACTTCTTTCGCGCCGCGTTGAGCCAACCGTGGCTAATCGGAGGTGCGAGTATCTACGTCGGCCTTCTCTTGCGCCGCACGTGGCCAACCGCGCCAATGGTGACGTTATTGATTTATCCACCCGCTCCGTGCAAGTTGCAGGGTGGGGTCCCCTTCACCGCTGAATCCCAGAACAAAAGGTGGGGAGGGGGTGGGTGGGTGGGTGGGGTGGGTGGGTGGGAATGGGGACAGAAATCCTTTAAATTATCAGACACCGAACGCCCTGCCAATCAGCGCCAGCAAGGGCAGCCCAACCCTGGTCCCGCGGGCGCGGGATCACGGTGAGCGAGGACGCGCGGGGACAAAGCGTGCCGCGGAGCCCCTTGAACGAACGAACGAACAAAAAAATAACGAACCACCCCCCCGCCCCGCCCGCCGCCCTTCCGGCCCTGCTTCAATCCACAGCCGACATTGAGCCGCCCTTCACCGCAGTCACGCCCCTTCCGCTGGAATGCTAATTCGCGCTCGTACGCGCCCGGTCGCTATAACAATAAACAACAGAACGCTGGCGGCCAG